GTGGATTGTATAACCCGTTGCGAATCTTGAGTTCAGAAGCGTCTTCATGTCACACATTCTTCCATTGTTATTTTTAGACACCAAATTAGGAAGGGGATTTCCGTGAATCATTTGAAGGTCCCCATTGCCATAAAAGGCTCGGAGCTGACAAATTACACGGCCAATGGTCACTTCATTTTGGGCTTCAATTCACACGCCATCTATCCGTACATTATTTACCCCTTTATATTTCCATTTGCAGAAAGTGCGTACCGTTATTATTGAGACACAATAACAGTTAAACACAGCAAATAAGGCTAACGTTTGAAACAAAAGTGACCCATGTAAGGCCTCGATAGTCACGTGATAACGGCCATAACTGTCGTTTGAAAGGGAGTATCTGCTTCGTTCTGACATGAAATCGATGGGTTTTTGTTTGAAATAACGCGAAAGTTTTATATATGAATGCCTGTAAATCTCAACGGGACATAATTTAAGTAAGTAGATGTAAAGTGTTTGCAATATGTAATAAATAAACATAACTGGGTGGAATGTTTGATGGAATGTATGTATTGCTAAGCGGGTGCGGAAGTCGGGAAGTTTTCCAGTTTGTTGTGTAGTCGAAAGAGTTGAGAGTTAATCACTTTCAAGTGTTGTATTCCAACTTGTAGTGTGTTTGAAAACCCTTTGAAGTCTTGGAGTTGTATGGGAGTGAGTTGTGCATGTTTTTCGGTTATCCTTTAATGTTAGAGTTGCTTTTCAATAGTGTTTATTGTAATCTAGGTACGGGAGTTATTGGGAAGTAAAATATCATTATGTTTAGCGGGTAACTCTAGCCAAACTGTCGGTACTGTCACCCCGTTTTTATTTTATAAAATAAATATAGCAATTTAAATGATATAGCCACATTAATAATTATTAAGGGTATTCCATATATAATCTTAAAATTATCGTATTGGTTTAGATAAATGTATTATTAAAAAAAAAGGAAGTTCGTAGCTCATTTTAAAAGACAAGTGGGAAGCTTAGTTAGAGGCGGACTGACTCAACCCATCACTGTCACCTACGTGACTGCATGTAAATATCTGCAGTGTGCAAGGAAGACACGATCACACACCTACCTAGTCCGCTGCTAGCAATAACATCCTGCTTTGGTTGTTTGACGGTGGGGATGTGTCATTGGCAGGTGACAACCCAGTTGACACTTTAATACTTGATTAAAAGTAGGTATAATAATAAAGACAGCCTTACTAAGAAATTATATGTAACAGCATTTCAAAAATGCTAGCTATACAGTTTGATACCAGATATTACCATTACTTGTGTTACTTTACTCTGTTTTTCCCTGAAGGATTGAATATATTCATAAAATATTAATAAACAGTGAGTATCGTTAAACAACATTCTTTGGGCTACATACAATCAAAAGCAAGACTTTTACTACCTTCTGATACAGTATGGAATTTTAGAATTTAAATAATCTCAACACTGTACAAGTACTTTAGACCCATGAAAACATGAAAATCTAAATAATCTTAAAACTGAAAAGACAGATATTTAGTCGGGAACAGAATTTGCACCTGCACACATAATCTGAGACAGTGTTGATTATTGAGATTTCTTTGAGACTGTTTATTTATAACAATGGGAGAAATAATTCAAGTATTGATGAGCAATATATTAAAATGTTTCTGTTGTCTGTTGCAACAAATACGTTCTTTCTAAGCAACTTATAATTTGTTTACATTTGTTCTTAGCAAAATAAAAATATGGTTGTGAATCTTGGAATATGCTAACAGATTAAGATGGTCCAGAAGGCTGTGGAGACGTGGTTTCTGAGACGTATACAATTTATACCCAGGACAGCCAGAGTAACAAACAAAAAGTACGTGGAAATGGCTAATAGAATTAGAAAACTATATACAACAATAAAAAGGAGGCAGTCAGTATTCTTTGGTCATATGGTGAAAAGACAGGCATTTGAGAACATTGTGATGACTGGAAAGTTCAGTGGTAGACGAGGCAGAGGAAGAGAAAATAAACAATGCTTGATGGTTTTAAGCGATAGCATGTAGGAAAATGATCAGTGGAATGGATTCAAAATACCAAGTACCAACATCTATGGAGAAACATGAGCGTCTGTGCCACCTGGCAGTGCACATGATGATGAGACTGGAATTATTATTTTAACTAGGCCACTTATGCTTCTGCCCAATTACATAAAGCATGCAGTTGAGGCATATAAAGTGTCAGGAGACAGGAGAATTTCTAGGAGAAAATTTGTTTATTAGAAAACAAGTGAAACTGTTCAAATGTTAATAGGCTGTTAACAGACAAGGTACACAATGAGCAATAGTGTAAGATGAACTGGAAATCATATGCAAGTAATCTGGCAATCTTAGTTTCAGCTTCATAGCAAACGGGTCACCCCATAGTTGCTCTATGCAAGTATATAAGAGAAGGAATATTAAAGTCCCTGGAAACCCTCATTGGCAAGGCACACAATGGGTATGCAGCCACTGTTTATTCTTACCTTTGACACCGCTAGGCATTTACGAGGCACACAGACCGGCATGCTGTTACTGTTTATTCTGACCTTTGACACCACTAGGCATTCACGAGGCACACAGATGGGCATGCTGTCACTGTTTATTCTTAACTTTGACACCACTAGGCATTTCTGAGGCACACAGACGGGCATGCTGTCACTGTTTATTCTTACCTTTGACACCGCTAGGCATTTAGGAGGCACACAGATGGGCATGCTGTCACTGTTTATTCTTACCTTTGACACCGCTAGGCATTTACGAGGCACACAGACGGGCATGCTGTTACTGTTTATTCTTACCTTTGACACCACTAGGCATTCACAAAGCACACAGATGGGCATGCTGTCACTGTTTATTCTTACCTTTGACACCACTAGGCATTTAGGAGGCACACAGACGGGCATGCTACCACTGTTTATTCTTATCTTTGACACCACTAGGCATTTACGAGGCACACAGACGGGCATGCTACCACTGTTTATTCTTACCTCCGACACCGCTACGCATTTAGGAGGCACACAGATGGGCATGCTGTCACTGTTTATTCTTACTTTTGACACCACTAGGCATTTACGAGGCACACAGATGGGCATGCTACCACTGTTTATTCTTACCTTTGACACCGCTAGGCATTTAGGAGGCACACAGACGTGCATGCTGTTACTGTTTATTCTTACCTTTGACACCGCTAGGCATTTACGAGGCACACAGATGGGCATGCTGTTACTGTTTATTCTTACCTTTGACACCGCTAGGCATTCACGAGGCACACAGACGGGCATGCTGTCACTGTTTATTCTTACCTTTGACACCGCTAGGCATTTAGGAGGCACACAGATGGGCATGCTGTCACTGTTTATTCTTACCTTTGACACCGCTAGGCATTTACGAGGCACACAGACGGGCATGCTGTCACTGTTTATTCTTACCTTTGACACCGCTAGGCATTTACGAGGCACACAGACGGGCATGCTGTCACTGTTTATTCTTACCTTTGACACCACTAGGCATTTACGAGGCACACAGACGGGCATGCTGTTACTGTTTATTCTTACCTTTGACACCACTAGGCATTTACGAGGCACACAGACGGGCATGCTGCCACTGTTTATTCTTACCTTTGACACCGCTAGGCATTTACAAGGCATACAGACAGGCATACTGCCACTGTTTATTCTTACCTTTGACACCCCTAGGCATTTACAAGGCACACAGACAGGCATGCTGCCACTGTTTATTCTTACCTTTGACACCGCTAGGCATTTACAAGGCACAGTAACACAGACCGACATGCTGCCACTGTTTATACCTAATCTCAACACTGCAAGTTACAAGAGGACCAGAATGAGATCACTTTAGTTTAGAATAGAGTGAGCTGCAGTAATGCAATGGTTAGACGCTTGCCTGCTGGGCAGAAGGTCTAAAATTTGAATGTGTCTAAAAAAAATATTAGGCATGGCATTATTTATCAGCTTCATAAAGAGACATTATATAAACTGTTTTGGACAGCTTAAAATAAGTTATTTAATAACGGATCTGGTTCCACACCTTGGGATGTGTTGGGCATATGGTGCTGACTCATATTTAGGGACCAGTCAACACTGGCTGGATGATATGGTCATTCTGGTCAGCTTTTCTTTCCACAATATTTCCCAGTATCCATTTTAGGTGGGGGTCAGCCTAAACTACTTCATCAGAGATTCTGACGTGTCCGTTGGGCCAGGAGGTTAGGATGGTAGCCGCTGCTCTATCCTGGCTTCATTTTGAATATTCTTTTTAGAAGGATAGACACTTAACTACCAGTAAAAGCATACAACCAGAATAGATCTAGTTTTCTTTTGTATTTTATCCCACAACAGAGTGTAGTCCCTCAATCAGCTCACATCAGGCTGTCCTGACTTTTGTTGTCGCATGCAACTCCACTCCATATCCTCCTCGTGTGTTTCATTTTACAATGTAATTTCCTGTTGTGTGTGTTTTTACGTGCCCTAATTGAACACCTTAAGGCAGGGCTATTCAACTGGTGGGCCACAAGCCAAATTTGCCAAAACGAGTATTATATTAATTATCTTTTAATGCTGGGCCTCTGGAAGGCAGTGATCCTGATTTTCCAACACTTTGGCCTTTTAGTAAAATTAGTTGAATGTCCTTACCTTGTAGGTACAATAAATAAACATGGATAGAATGCAGCCATGGCAACACATCTGACTTTTTAACACAAATTTAGGCTTCTTCCATTCCTAGGCTAAACACCAAGTGTGAATTAGAAAATAAACTTAATCAACCTGACATTAGACAGTAGTTGGTCACATTTAAAATCATAAGCCAGAAGACTAGTGATTGCTTGGGCACACATTCTTCATTTCCTCTGCTTCTATCCAAATTGTCCCACCATATAGTAACAGTATTACCTTGTGCCACAAGCAGAGATCTTTAGTAGTCATGTTTTCTGTGTGTGTATGTGTTTGGTAGTGGACGCTGTGGTGGAATTTGAATATACAGCGGAGCAGGAAGATGAACTTAGCCTTAAAGTTGGTGACATCGTCACTAATGTCAAGACATCAGACGGAGGTTGGTGGGAGGGAGAGCTTCATGGTAAAAAAGGCCTGTTTCCAGAGAACTTTGTGCAGGTCAGTCCGGGAATTATCCTGCATATATTCCGCTGCTTTAATTCTTTAAATACCAAGCAACTTACCATGCTTTTGCTGGATACTCTTTACATTATATGCTTTTATTAACTCCTTAATACTCATTCATTGGATACATTAAACCATTATGTCCTAATCTTTACTTGTTTTGTTCTGTTGTGTTATTATTTGAACCTATTTAGACCAAACATGTCTAGCAACAAATTTGTAGAATTTGAGTTAAATTAATGTCTGCCTGGGACTGAAAGAGTGATCTGGGATCCACTGCAGAACAGGCTACTTGGCTAGTTATCCCATTTTATGCAGTAGAGATCTAAGCTTGTTGAACTGTGTGTAGTTGCTTATAATTTTGTATTGATAAGAGGGCATCTTTCAGTATTATAACTTTTGACCCAAAGCTGCATTTGCTGAGTAATTTAGATACTGCTTCCTTCAGCGCCATAGCCTTCGCTTTGTATTTGGAGGAGTGTTTTTCTGTGGGGAATGCCATGATTTATGAACTGCATATATTCCAGTTTATAATTATTTTTATAAGCTTTTTAAACTTGCACAGGTTAGGAAGACAAGCCTCTGGCCATGTGGTTCAGACCCTGGGCTCTCATTTCGGAGACCCTGGGCTCTCATTTCGGAGACCCTGTGCTCTCATTTAGGAGACCCTGGGCTCTCATTTAGGAGACCCTGGGCTCTCATTTCGGAGACCCTGGGCTCTCATTTCGGAGACCCTGGGCTCTCATTTCAGAGACCCTGTGCTCTCATTTCGGAGACCCTGTGCTCTTATTTCATAGACCCTGGGCTCTCATTTAGGAGACCCTGGGCTCTCATTTAGAAGACCCTGTGCTCTCATTTCGGAGACCCTGTGCTCTCATTTCGGAGACCCTGGGCTCTCATTTAGGAGACCCTGTGCTCTCATTTCGGAGACCCTAGGCTCTCATTTAGGAGACCCTGGGCTCTCATTTAGGAGACCCTGGGCTCTCATTTAGAAGACCCTGGGCTCTCATTTAGGAGACCCTGTTCTCTGATTTCGGAGACCCTGGGCTCTCATTTCGGAGACCCTGGGCTCTCATTTAGGAGACCCTGTTTAAAGGTAAAGTCTATTTTACAAGGTCTCCTAAATGAGAGCCCAGAGTCTGAACCACAGGGCCAGAGGCTTGTCTTCCTAACCTGTGCAAGTTTAAACTGTGTGGGTTCTTGGGTCCCATATGGGGGGGGGGGCGGGGAGGAATGGGCAGAGATAATAGACCCCTTACTCTCTAACGAGCATGTCGTAAAAGGTGACTAATTTGGAATTTGCTGAATTTAGATTTATTGGGCCGAAAAGTGCAGATACTGCAGCCTAGCTGTAGACATCACAACTTGCCAACTGCCTTTTTAAGGGCAACACCTATTAGCCTGGCTGTAAACTGCAATAAAATGGCCAGACACCCTTTTGTGGACAAACACAGAAGAAGAAGAAGAAGAAATACTTGTGTATTTATTTCTCATTGCTTCTATGGTCAAGGGATTTCACCAGCAAATAATACCTCTGCCTTCTGTACCTGTTGGTTTATTTATCCATTTAGCAAGCAGCTTCCGCATATATGTAAGCAATGAATTTCTGTGGAGTTTGATAAAAGTATAAAATCTTTCATGATAATGCTTAGAAAGTTACATGTCTAAACATCTTCGTCTTCAGCATTTCGAGCCCTTGAGGTTCATTGTTACAGATAAGACCAACCTTCATTCTTCTGTGATTGGTTTTTTCTTTCTAGTCAGTGATTCCGAGTGTTTGTAGATCAGCCTGCATATAAACTCTCTACAATCTCCCTGGTCTGCCTCATTGTCTACTCCCAATCAACTTTTTTTTGTTAGTGCAGTTTTTGTCTTTACCCCTTTTAAAATGAAGTTTGTTCTCTGTTATTTGCCATTCTCTCTATAAACCCCAGACATCTACTAGCCCTCATGACACCAGTCATTCTGAACCATAGGAGGACTGTTATCTGGCTACACAGGCTTTACACACACTTAAACAATTCTGAAGATGTGTGTTAGTGCTGCCCAAGATTGCTAGGATGATGGCAAGAGCTACTGAATTTGTACAGTGTGTACATGTGGGCATGCTCTCAAAGTATAAAACATATCCCATACTTTTAGCCCAAATAGGCCCCAGACCAGAAAGGTCTAGTCTGTGACAGAGAAAATGACCCTAGATGGCAGACTTTGATAAAAATGGTTCTGTTTCTAGGTCTGGAGCTGTATTTGGCATATGTTGCTGTTTTCATATTTTTACAGATAAATCAGTACTGAATGGGTAATATCAGTGTTTTACGGGCCACCTTTACTTCCCTGAAATTATTATGTGGTACCAGTTTGTTTGAAGGCTGGGTCAGCCTAGGAGTCCAAGTAAAAATATTCTTCAATAGAGTTTCAACCTGTTGCCCCTGGGTTGGCATGCAGTCATTGTGCTGAAATAGCCCTCCCAAACATTACAGAAGAACACAGGAATTGTTGGAGACATCTTGATCATTTGATCAGTTTTCTCCTCCAATTTGCCACTTAGAAGATTACCTTACCATCTTGAGATGAAAAATCTCAATCTGGAGGGCAGGCCAACACGGCAGATCCCAAATACCCTGTTCAACCTCAGAAGAAGTTTTATAATTAGGGCTTCCATAATGTCCACATCAACTAGATGTCACCTGCAGTCCTATGTGGGTAAGGACATCATGAAATGAAATTGCAGACACAGGCTGATTTAAAGTTAACAGAAGGGAATATAAGGAAATGCTGGTAAATCTTTTTGAATTGTTTGTCTCCAGTTAGTTCAGCGGCGAGAACCAGCTTCCTTGGAGCCAAAAAGAGAGCCACCACAACGGAAGTCAGTCAGAGAGTTGGCAAACAAATTCAAGGATATGTCAGTCAGTGGACCTCCAAAGAAGAAAGGTGTGTATGATTTTGAAATTGTTTATTCCCAAACTGATTAAGCCTATTGCTTCCTTAAAAAAAAATCTTATTTTCATACACAGTGGGTACATTTAATTATTCCGTCATTACCCTGTTTCTGTCTGTACTCATTACTGTTAATCTGCCATATTTTGTTGATCGGCAGAAAAACAAAAAAGATGTAAAGTGTTATTTGAATACAAGAAAGAAAATGACGATGAGCTGGAGCTTGCTGTTGGTGATATTGTCGACTTTCACAAGGAGGTAAATTATTTCTGTTTATCTGCCTTATTTCCTCCAATTCCCTGTCTTTGGTCCAAGGGCCCTATTTTTTGTTTGAGGCCAGGGGTGAAGAATGATGAACCGTCCATCTTAATTCATTATGTAGGCCTCTTGTGGGTTCCAGGGCCCTACTGTGGGGGAAACAAGAATAAACCCACTGTGTACCCAAAAGCTTGTCGTTAAAGTCGACTAACTGTCAAAGTCGGACTGCATATGCCTGAGAGGAACCAACAGTCTGCACTCACATGAGTCAGATCTGTAAATTGGATGTACAGGCAACACCCAGGTTCTGGAACAGGACAACAATCCTGAAGTGGACGAAGTCAGAGCTTTCTGCCGGAGTTTACAGCTGGTAAATACGAAGAAGATGAAGAGAACTCTTTATGTCATGGCGTTCACTATGACTGTTAAAAGTAATGGGGTCTGTTTGCAGACCTTCAAAAGTAAGATGGCTTTGCAGGTCTTAGTTACTGTATTTCCCCAAGTATAAGACAATTTCATGTATAAAACTCACCTTGATTTTGGGACCAGAAAATTAAAGGAAAAATAGTATGATTACATGAAGTTATTAAACTTAGTTTTATTTGTCATAAAATCCAGAAAACTTCTCATCAATTTCACAGCTGTCATCCATATTATAGTTCTTTAGCTTGTCCTTGTCTGTATGTTAGGATGAATCACTGTCTTCATATATTGCCTCATCCTCAGTTCACACAGCGGCATTTGGAATGCCACACTTCTTTTGAAAAACTTCTCCTATAGTTGGTTTCTTCACACTACCTGCTGGTGTCAGATTGTTTCCAAAAGACTTCTCACAAACAATTTGGTTAAAAATCTACTGTCGGCGTCTTTGGCTTAGACATTGCGAATGAGCTTCATAATGCCCGGTTAGATCCCAGCTGCAGGCCAATTGGCAGAAGACCATCTTGCATTGGTTTTTACAGTGGTATTAAAAGCCGACTGCTCAAAAAGCAGTGGCAAACTACTGAACGTACAATTTACCTAGAAAAACCACAACAGCTTAACAAATGCTAGGGTTGGTTCTGCAACCTCCTGTAAAGAGAATATGCAACTAACCAAAACTAAAAAATCTACTACCGAAATATCAGACACACTGGTTTTTCTTTTAGGCCCCTATATTTTTGGAAAATAAGTGTCTTATACTTGGGGAGAACAAAATGATGCTTTATTATTTACAATTTCAAACAAGAAGATAGAGTCAGAGGCAGTCACTGGAGCTCTGAAGTGGATAGCTGAAAATAGAGAGTAACCAGAGGAATTAGAGTGACTGATTCTTAGTCAGTACTGTGGGAGGGTCAGAATGGACAAATGTGGCATGTGGGGATACCAAGCATCAGCATGTCAGCATGACAGGGACTTATGTTGATATACTGTCTAGGTGGTGTAGGAGTGTGAAGAAAGGAAAAAGGCTACAAAAGCGAGAACTACAGGGACACTACTGGAGAAAGGAGGCATTATGAAGACCATTTATGCTGATGGAAGACTTGAAATTAGATGAAATAAAGTGTAAGAATGTGTAAACGGCTAATTCATTGTGGATTAGGCAAGGAGGGATGTATGAAAGGAATTGTACGACACGTTTATAATCAGTGTGCTACAGGAACAGTTAGCATCTACAACTTAAGACATTTGCTGCGGGAGATAAAGCACCTATGGGTATACTCAGTGTGCTATGATGTCGATACTTAAATTAGTAAATACTTGGAGAAACACGTTAATTGGGAACCACTGTTTTAGAATATAAAAGCCTAAAACTTTATACCACATCTTGTGGACACTGAAAGGGGAGCGGCAAAACAAACATCAACAGACTACAGCTGTCCCCATGTGGCTTTGGGATCCCATGTGGGGTGGGTGTAAAGGGGGGGGGGGGGGTAGACACAGTGTGGGTTAGCAAGCATGTTGAAAAAGGTGACCAATTAGTGATTTGCTGAAATCAAATGTGGGGGACTAAAAGGTGCATATATCACAGCCTAGCTATAAACCGCAACACACAATGCCAACCTCTCTTTTAGAATAAAGCAGAAAAAAAATGTTGCAGCTATAGCTGTTTACATTAGTATTGGAACACTGCACAGCCTGCTGAAACTGGGGACAGAGTGTTTTGGAGAATGCTCGAGTTGTGCACTTTTCTTGTAACTCTTTACATGGATCACCTTTATCTTTTATTTTTATTTCCTCTGTGGAATCCTGGGGAAGAACTTTCAAGGGATGCTATTACATGTCTACACGTAAATGGAAATGGAGTGTTTTTTGGGATGTCCCAAATGTTGTGATGCATTTTCTGAATTCTTTACACTCTGTAGCAGAATCTTCTGTGGAACTAATGTTATCTTTTATCTTTTTATTTCTCTGTGGGTTCTTGGGAATGGACTTTTAAATGATGCTATTACCTGTTTTTTCCTCAGAATTTGCCTGTCTGTTTAATTATTGATGTTTTCTTCTGCAGGTGGAAGATGGCTGGTGGGAGGGTTCAATAAATGGGAGGCAGGGTGTGTTCCCTTCAAACTTTGTGGAAATCTTGGATGAGACGGCATCATCAGGTGAAAGTGTTACCTCTGGGGTTGAGGAGAAAGATAAAGACAAGCCTGCAGGTAAACAGTAGGGTCTCTGTTTTATGATTTTTGTTGTTTGTCTCTGTTGTATGATTTTTGTTGT